TAGATTCCACATATGAGGGAAATTATATACTATTTGTCTTTCTCAGTCAGGCTTATTTCACTTAGCATAATAGTCTTTAGGTCTATCCATGTTGCTGCAAATGGCAAGATCTCATCCTTTTTTTTTTAATGGCTCCATAATATTCATATTCATATAAACATACGCATCATGACTTCTTTATCCATTTGTCTGTCAATGAACGTTTAGATTGCTTCCATATCTCAGCTATTGCAAATAATGCTGCAATAAACATAGGGATGCATCTATTTTTTTTTAAATTAGTGCTTTTGTTTTCTTTGGGTAAATACCCAATAATGGAATTATTTGATGGTATGGTATTTCTATTTTTAAGTTTTTGAGGAATCTCCATGCTGTGTTCCACAGCGGCTGCAGCAATTCCCACCAACTGTGCATCGGGGTTCCTTTTTCTCCACATCTTCACCAACACTTGTTATTTCTTGTCTTTTTGATTTTAGCGATTCTGACAGGTGTATGGTGATACCTGGTGGTTTTGATTTGCATTTCCCTGATTAGTATCCAAAATACATGATGAACGTATACAACTCAGCACCAAACAAAACAAACAAATAACCCAATATCCCATTAAAAACGGGCAGAGGACCTGAACAGCATTTTTCTAAAGAAGACGTACAAAAAATAAAATAAAAGAAAAAAAGAAAAAAAAACAAAAGAAGACGTACAGATGGCCAACAGACACATGAAAAGATGTTCAATATCACTCATCATAAGAGACTCGATTTTTGCATCCATGCTTATAATATACATGGACCCGATTTTTTTTTTTAAATTCTGCTGTTTTTGTTTTGGTTCAAGATTAGTCTAGCCTCATATGACTTTTTTTTTTTCATATGGCTTTTGGATAGACTCTGTCTTGTTCATATTCTGGTGCAGTTTACATAATATGGTTTGTTTTTTGCATTTACGTGTATCACTCTAGTAAAACTATCTCAGCCTGGGCATTTTAGGAGTTGGAACAGATCCATTGCCTTTTCAATTTACTGATGATTATTGGTCTACTTTTCTAGGGCCACGTTTTGTAATTTGTATTTTTGTCAAGAATTGTCTCTTTTATTTAGATTTTCAAATGTATTGGCATAAAGTCGTTCATAGTATACTCTTAAGCTTTATAAAATTTTTATACTCAATCTGGTATGTTTCTTTAGCCATTTATAATATTATTTGGAACATTTTTTGGATAAATCTTGCAAAAAGTTTGTCTGTTGGATTAGTCTTTAATAAACACCAGTTTCTGGTGTCCATAATCAATTACATTTTCCTTTTTGTTTTACTCATTTTGCCGTTTGCTTCATTATTCCCTTCTTTCTGTTTTCTCCAGGTTATTTAGTGTTTATTTATCTACCTCTTACATTGAACACTTATTTTTCTGGTTTTGTAATAAGTACACGTAAGGCTACAAATCCCCCTCTAATTGTTTGTTTTAGTTGGATCCCACACATTTCATTATATTGGGTGTTTTTTGACATTCATTTCTAAATATTTTGTAATTTCCATATTGGTTTTCTTTTTAATATGTATGTATTTTTCGGTTTCCAAATGTATGTTCTTTTTCATTTAAAAACGTAAAATCATTCAACATACACAGAGGTATAAAGACGAATACAACGAACACCCAACTTGAGAAATAAAATTCAAACATGTGCTTGTCATGTTTAGTTTTCTTTTTCATAAATAAAAGCAGTACATGATAAGACAGAGATCATCCTGCTTTCAGGACCCTCCCCTCAGAAGCATTTTCAGTAACTAATTAAAGGTTTACAAGTGGTTTGGGTTTCTTTCTGGCTGTGTTTTTGTTGATTCTTCATTTTACTTCACTGTGGTTCACGAATGTGGTCTATAGATTCTTTGGAATTTATTGAGACTTCCTCTGTGGCCAGTTCACAGTCAATTTCTGTAAATGTTCCAAGTATGTTTGAAAAGAACAGATGTGCTGATGTTCTTTTTCTAAAATACAAACCTGATCTCATCATTTCCTCTCCAATAGCTTCAATGGTCTTCAGGTAAAAGCCCGATCCCCCTCAGCTATGGTTTGGCCCCATGCTTCCTCTCTAGCCAAGGCCTGGGTCACCTGCCTTATGTACAGTGAATTTATGTCCATGCAAATTCTATACTTTTCAGGGTCAACTTTCAGAAGAATATCTGAACTGGCAGAGTTGCCTTGTAGCAAACAGCCCAATGTCTGGTGCACTGAAGGCCCTAATAGATACTCACTGAGCCGGCCAGAGAGTGGTCTGTCTTCTGGGGGTGGAGGCAAGCTGAGGCAGGACAGTCACCTATAATCTGCCTTACTGAGACCTCTGCTTGCTGTACCCCTCTGTGTTAAGTTCTCAGCACTCCCCATCTCTCCTATGTCTATCTGCCCATACTGTGGTGGATGACTTTGAAGACCGACCTTCCCACCAGCACTCTGCAGTTGCTTTGACCTCTAGGGTCAGCTGCCTTTGTTTGGCCAAGACCCACCCCGAGATGAGTCCAGACAGGGCTTCTGCTCTGGGGCCCCTGCTATGGAGATGGGAGATGGCGGGGGATCAGGAGTCACTATCCTCTCTACACATTTATCGTTTCAATCTTAGCTGGCACCTCGCTTTTCCATTCTCTTTGGCATCCATTCCAAACCTTTGATTCCCCTCAAATCCCTGAGCACCTCCCAGATCCTTTGCTTAGAAGAATGTGAATTTGCTACTTCATGGAGAAAACAGAAAACATCAAGGGTGAATCTTTATCCATCCATTTTTACATCCTTTCCTTCTGTTTCAGAAATGTCTCTATTCCTTTCTAGGGTAAGAGTAATCCTGTCTCCAGACCCCATTCTCTCCTGTCTCCCTGTTTTTATTCTATTGGTTATTCCTGCTACTCCAGTCTTTGTGTCTCCTCTTCCCAAACCACCCTTTCTAGAAGTAGTCAGCGCCCCCTCCCCACTCTCTCAGCTTCCATGCATTCACTTCTCTTGGAGGCCAATCTAGCTTCCTCCTGTCTCTATGGGTTCTTTATGGCCATCACATTCTACAGCGGTGGCACATCTGTCTTGATCTCTCCAGAGCACTGACAAGTCAGACCACACACTACCACTCAATAGTCTCTCCCACCTATTTGCCTCTGATACCACTTGGTCTTGGATCCCTCTCTTTCTACCTCCTTTCTTGGCCCTTTGATCCTGAAATGTTAGTGTTCCCTGTGTTTTTCATCCATGGGCCTCTGTTTTTATTTCTCTGCACCCTGGGAAGCACATGTGTCATCACAAAGGAGCACAGTTTCCAAGAGTTTTTTTTTTTAATATTTTATTTATTCATGAAAGACACACACAGAGAGGCAGAGACACAGGCAGAGGGAGAAGCAGGCTCAGCAGGCCTGATGTGTGACTCGATCCCAGGACCCTGGGATCATGACCTGAGCGGAAGGCAGATGCTCAACCACTGAGCCACCCAGGTTTCTCTCTACCAAGGTTTAAACAAGGGCTACCATAGGGGAATCTGGCCTATCATGGCCAGGCTGCCCCATTTTTCAAGAGCTGTCAGATACCTTCGGGTTTTATGGGAAATACCTCAGCTTTAAATATTGATAGCGAATTCAAAATTCTATAAAACTATGCAGGACAAACAAAACATAGATGGTCTCTTTAGAGCTCTTCTTCTCTCTGACTGCCCCCAAGGCATTTTATAAAGTTCTTTATCAGTAAAGATAACTCACACTTACCGAGGCTTCACTATGTGCCAGGTACTTTTAAGTGCTTTGCACATATTAACGAATTTAATCTCACAGCAATCCTATCAACGGTGTGCTATTATGATCCCTACACTATGGATGAGCAAACTGAGGTGGAGAGCTTCAGTATTTTGTCCTGGGTCTCAGATATATTGAGTTTAAGAAGCAGCATTCGAATCCAGATGGTCCAGCTCCCAAGCTTAAGCTCTTAACTACCACACCAGCGCACCTGGGTGGCTCAGTGGTTGAGCATCTGCCTTCCGCTCAGGTCATGATCCCAGGGTCCTGGGATCGAGTCCCACATCAGGGTCCCTGCATGGAGCCTGCTTCTCCCTCTGCCTGTGTCTCTGCCTCTCTCTCTGTGTCTCTCATGAATAAATAAATAAAATCTTCATTAAAAAAAAAACAACTATCAGAGGCTACTGCTTTCCTCACTCAGCAGACAGGTAAACTGAGGTCCAGAGAAGTTGAGAAGTTGCTGCCCAAGATCACAGGCGTGCAACGGGCAGTAGGGATTTGAAGTTATCATCACAGAGCTAGATGCTTGCACTTTCTGCTTGTTTCCCTGCTCGGCTGCATCCAGCCCCAGCTCCCAGGTCAGGCACTGGGATGCAAGCGTTTGTAAAACGAGTGCTCTCCAATAGTCCATTCACAACTTCATTGGCTTCTCCCAACAATCCCTAGGTAAGACAAGTAGCTGACATCTAATCAGCACTTCCAGCGTGCGTCATTTCCTTGAAACCCCATGAACACCCTATTATTCCATGGCGACTCTGATCAGCCCCATGTACCAGAAGAAGAAACTGAGGCTGGGCGCAGCAGCTCAGTGACTTGCTCAAGATCTGGCAGAGCCTCCTTCCAGCTCAAGTTGCAGGACGGCGGAGCCCTCACGGCCGACCCCGAGGCCACGGCGTCGTTTGCACGGATGGGGAAACTGAGGCCCAGGATGGGGCACTGGCTTGTGTCCGCGGAAACCGCGGCTGCTGGGGAGAAGGTCCCGTTGCATGCGTGCCCCTTCCTCCTCCTAGGTCGCAGGTTGCAGTGGCGGGGCTGGAGGCAGAAGGTGACCCGCCCGCGGCCCCGCCGGGTGAGGTCCGGAGAGTGGCGGGAGCGGCACGGAAGTCGCCGCCTACCCCGCCGGCTCCTCGGCGCCATGGCAACGGCGAGCAGGAAGTGCGTCACCCGGTGGGAGGGACGAGCGTGAGGCTGCCGCCAATAGGAGAGCCGCGCCCGCGTTGGTCCCGCCCCGGAGGGGGCGTGCCAAGCCCGCCTTTCGGCGTCGGCGGCGGGCAGTGGGGGCTGCGCCCGGGTACCGCGGAGGGTGAGCCGCGCGCGCGCCCGCGAGGCTGTCGGGGATGGAAGAGGGCCGCGCAGAGAGGCGACGGAGGACGGAAGGTGGGCGTCAGGCCCCGGGGGCGGCCCGCGTGGGTGCCGGAGCGCGGCTCCGGGGGCCCGGGGGGCTCCTCGTTGGCTGATGCAGACAGGCCCAGAGACGGGCAGGAAGGCCGGCGGGCTGGGACCTGGTGCCCCCGACGCCCCCCGACGCCCCCCGACGCTGGCGGGTCGTAGCGTTAGGTGCTGACCTCGGTTTGACCCCGCTCTTGGGGGACGGAGGCAAAAGACGGATGCCTGAACCGAATACGGAAAATACGGCCTTCGAGGAGCACCTGTCGGTTACCTGTGCCCGTGCTCTCTGTCGCGGTCCGGGGACCCGTAGAGAGCCCCGAGGCTAGACGTGTGCAGATGCCCCGATGTTTCGGATTTTTCGAAAGGGATATGGTATATTCCTATTCCCCATGGTCTTTGGGGTCTGGGCTGCATCTTGTCATCACATACATGAATCCGTGCACATTTGCCCCCAAAGGAGGTCAAGAATGGCCCAGAGATAGCCTCACCTTATAGGTCAGATCAGGTCTTCAGGCTTCCAAGGTTGGAGGCCTTAGATCTTTCTTAGATCGGAGAATTGTAGGTGAGGAGTCCCTGCAGGTGAGGGATCTCGATTTGCTTGTTCCCTGCTATGCCTCGCTTACCTGGGGTGTGTGTGTGTGTGTGTGTGTGTGTGACAGTGGCGGTGGCGGTGCTAGGGTTCCTGAACTCTGCTTTTGCATCGCCACTCTCCTGCCCATCGCTGACTCCGTGCATCTCCTGGTGCCTCCAGCCTTGCCGCATCTGGAAAATGGGGGCATGGATGTGAGGATCCTCAGGTTCCCAGGAGGATGGAATGAGAGTGCAGTGAAGCACTCCCCCCTCTGCCTCGCGTGTGGCTCAGGTGGAGGTGCTTGAGATCTGCTTATTGCACAGACATTTCTGTTTTTAAATGTTTTTTTTTTTTTTTTGGGGGGGTAGGCAGTTCACCATGGTTAACTTCTACCACCCAGTCCATCTTCAGACAATCGCCTTCTGTGTGTAAACAGGCCTATCTGTATCTGTGTCCCTCTCCTTTTTTTTTTTCCCCCGAGATTATTGACTTCTGTGCTGTTCCAGAGTTGGTCCTCCCCACTGCCAAGATTTTTAATTTATTTATTCAGGAGAGACACAGATAGAAAGAGAGGCAGAGGGCAGCCCCGATGGCTCAGCGGTTTAGCACGGCCTTTGGCCCAGGGCGTGATCCTGGAGACCTCGGATCGAGTCCCACATCGAGCTCCTTGCATGGAGCCTGCTTCTCCCTCTGCTTGTGTCTCTGCCTCTCTCTCTCTATATATATGTCTCTCATGCATAAATAAATAAAATCTTAAAAAAAGAAAGAGGCAGAGACACAGGCAGAGGGAGAAGCAGGCTTCCCGAGGGGACCCTGATGCAGGACTCGGTCCTGGGACCCCACGATCACACCCTGAGCCAAAGGCAGACACACTCAACCAGTGAGCTACCCAGGCGTCCCTAGAGTTGGTCCTTTTTAGCATTTATTTTGGCTGTTACGTAACGTATTTACATCATTTCTTCTTTTTTTAATCAAGATATGTAACATACCTATAAAAATGTTTGCAAATGTAAGTTCGAAGAATAAAAATAAGGAACACACGTATACTCCCCATCAGGTTAAGAAATAGAACATTATCTTATGCTGAAAGCTCCCGCTGAATCCTTTCTTCCCCTCACTAAAGATGAGCACTGCCCTGAGTACTGTTACTCATTCCCTTGTTTTTCCTTTATGGTTTTTACTATGTATCTGTAAAATGACTGCCGTGTATGGTTTTGTTAGGTTTTGAATTTGATGGAGAATCCTCACATATAATTAGTGTGACTTTACTTTTGCACATAACATTCCCGTATGTGAGATGCATCCACAGTGATTTGAGTAGCTCTACGTCACCTTCATTGCTTCATCGCTATTTGGAATTCCATGGTTTGAATATAAATGCTTTGCTAGGCATTTTTCAACTGGTTGCCATTGCTACTGTTGCCAGATTTTTGCTACCACATGGTGCTTTTATACACATATTTCCTTAGGCAGATGTGGATAGTTTCTGTAAGTGAAAAATCGAATACCGCATTTCTGGGCATACCCAAATTCACCAGTAAAATCAAATTGTCTGACACGGTTCATAAGAGTTTACACTCCACCAGCAGTGGATGAGTTTTAGCCGAGGCCATTCTTCAGAATCTTTGCCTTATCTGGTGATGAGTAAGAGATTTGTCACTGTAGTTTGGATACTCGTTAGCCTGATGACCTCAAGACTGTGTATCTTTTAATATATTTATTAATCATTTGTATATCTTCTTTGGAAATTTCAGTTGCTAATTTTTCTTTTGCAGTTTTCTTCCTCTAACTGATTTGTAGGAATTCATTACATATTCTGAGTATGAATCTTTCATGGGTTCAGCATGTTTCAGATGCTTCCCAGTTTGTAGCTTGTCTTCTCTCTCTCTCTCTCTCTCTCTCTCCTTCCCCCCGCCTCAAGTATTTTCAGTGAACAGAGGTTCTTAATTTTAACAAAGTTGAATTTACCTGTATATTCCTTTATGATTTGTACTTTTTGCATTATTATTATTATTATTATTATTATTATATCTTTTAAAGAAATCCCTGCCTTTGGCTTATAAAAGCCAACTGCCTATATTGTTGTCCAAAAGTTTTGTAGCATTTCCTTTCATATAACCTTAATCTTCAAAAATATTTTGTGCATAATGAGGTGAAGGTTCAATTCTCCAGTTTTTTCACATAAGGGTAATCTATTGTTCTGGCACCTTTTTTTTTTTTTTTTCTGGCACCTTTTTTTAAAAAGCTGTTTTGATCTGGAGTTCCATTTCTCCAGCGTGTCAAGTATCCACATCCACATGTGTTTCTTATCTGGGTTCTCTGTTCTGTCCCACTGGTCTTACTTGGTCCATGTTTATACCATTATCGTCTATTATTCATTACTCTAGGTTTAAAATAAGTCATTACCTGGTAGGACAAGTCTTTCTGCCTTTATCTTCTCCCAGAATGGCTTTGCTGTTTGGCCTTTGTGTGTTCCATGTAAATTTTGGGGTCATTTTGTCAAATATCACACGCACACACCCACAGAGCCTGTTGGATTTTTTTTTTTAAGATTTTATTTATTTATTCACAAGAGACAGAGAGAAAGAGAGGCAGAGAGAGAAGCAGGCTCCATGCAGGGACCCCGATGTGGGACTTGATCTCAGGACTCCAGGATCATGCCCTGGGCCAAAGGAAGGCTCCAAACCGCTGAGCCACCTAGGGATCCCTGAGCCTGTTGGATTTTGATTGGAATTGCATGAGTTCAGTTGCATTGGATCAGTTTGGATTTGAAAGTGATTGCTTTCAATATTCCATTATTTAAAGAAGATTTTATTTATTCATGAGAAACACATGCACAGAGAGAGAGAGAGAGAGACAGAGAGAGAGACAGAGAGAGAGAGAGGCAGAGACACAGGCAGAGGGAGAAGCAGGCTCCATGCAGGGAGCCTGACGTGGGACTCGATCCTGGGTCTCCAGGATCACACCCTGGGCGGAAGGCAGTGCTAAACCGCTGAGCCACCGGGGCTGCCTCTCAATATTCCATTTTTAAGTTTTATGTTTACTGTAGGTTTTCGTAGATATCATTTAGTAGATAAAGGAAATTTCCTTCAATTCTAAGTTTGTTAAGAGTTTTTAGTATATGCGACTGTCAAATTTAACAATCATAGTTTCTGAATCTATTAAGATGATTGTAGACTTTCTCCCGTGTTTTGTTAATGTGGTGACTCACACTGATTGATTTTTCCCCCCAGCTTTATTGAGATATTATTGACAGGTGACATTCTATTGATTTTCAATTGTTAGACTATTGAGGGGATAAACCCAACTTGGTTATCATATACTAGCCTTTCTATTTTGCTAGATGCAATTAAGGTTTTGCTTCGGACCATTGAAGTTGCATACCTGAAAGATACAGGCCTTTTCATTTTCCTTTCTTTTAAAGCTTCTGTTAGGTTTTAATGCCCAACTTATGTCAGCCTTATCAAATTATTTGAAGAGGGTTTGCTCTTTTGCAGCCCTGGGATAGTTCTGTGAAATTTGAAATCACTTGCTTCCAGAAGGCTTGGTAGGGCTTCTTGATAAATCCATCTGGATCTGAAGTTATCTTTGTGGGAGGTTGGACTTCCCACAGAAGGTTTTCAGTGGTTATAAAACTTGTTGATTTCCAGATAATTCTGTAGTTGGTTTTGAATGGATTTCCTATAACTTTGCGTATATTTACAACTTCAGATTATTGTTTTTATGCCTTTTTTTAATGTTTGTGTCCTCAATTAGTTCTCCTTTTTAATTCCAAACAGTGTTTGTCAGTCTTCTCTCTCAGAAAATCTTGTCAGAGTTTGGTGGCTTTTATTATGTTCTTTTTCAAAGAATACTTTTGGTTTGGGATGCCTGGGTGGCTCAGTGGTTGGGCGTCTGCCTTTGGCTCGGGGTGTGATCGCAGAGTACTGGGATCAAGTCCCACATCGGGCTCCCTACATGGAGCCTGCTTCACCCTCTGCCTGTGTCTCTGCCTCTCTGTCTCCATGTCTCTCATGGATGGATAAATAGAACTTAAAAAAAAAAAACTAATTAAAAAATCAAATTATACCAACCAAAAAAACAAAAAAATCAAATTCATTACCAACAATACAAAAAAATTCAAAACAATTTAATTCAACAAAATATTACACTATCATCCCACATAAATTTCAAATTATTTCCTATATAATCTTTATATCTTCCTTCTTCACTCTAATTCTCACTTCATATTCCAATTATACCATTAACTACATAAATACATTCCTCAATCTCACTACACTTCCCTCCCACTTTATCTTATTTTTCCTCTCTCATCTACCCAATTTATACCCTTAATTATATCTATAACCTTTACTACTCTTCTAATCTTCCAAATTATTAATTATTAAAAATTTTATATTAAAAACAAAAACACCACCAAAAAAAAAAAACCACAAAAAAAAAAAAAAAAAACAACCCAAAAAACACAAAAAAAAAAACAACAAAAAAACCCCCCCCAACCCCAAAAACACAAAAAAAACCCAAAAAAAACAAAACAACACCCCCCCCCAATCCCCCCCCCCCCCCCCCCCCCCCCCAATCCATTTTTTTTACCCCCCCCCCCCCCCCCCCCAATTACCCCCATTTTTTGTGTTTAGAAGAACAGTAAGCAGCAGCTAGCCTTCTTGTGTCTCTCCTATGTGCCAGGTCCTTGGCAAAGCTTTGGTAGCCACATCTCATTTAAATGGCATCTTCTGCCTTAAACATACATTTTGTTGTCCCCATTTTATGGCTGAAAAGACTGAGGCCTAGGGTGATGAAGCTTGTCGGCTAGAAATGTTTTTACTCTGTATTTGCCTAAGGGAACAGCGACTTTCTTGCCAGATCATGGCATCACCTGAAGTGAATGTTAAAACCTCAGAATTCCAGGCCCCTCTGCCATCATCAGAACCTCCAGGAACGGTGGGCGGTGGGTGGCAGGTGGTGGAGGGAGTGCAGGAAGCTGTATTTTTCCTGCACGGCTTTGATGATCCTTGAGATCAAGCAGGTCTGGCAAACACTGGTCTCAGTACCACCTGCCGATTTCTAAACCCACGCTCTTTGCCTCCGTGCAGTACCACCTCTCCGTGGCGAGAACAGGCTTTTTGATCAGGACTTGTGTAATGCTTTTATCAGCTCTGATCTTTGTGGTTTGTGGAAAGATGATGCTTTAGTAGAGAGCAAGAGATTGAAAAAGCACCCCACAGTGACAGTTGTTTCATTAGTGGTTTGGGAAATGAGAAGGAAACTAGCACTGAATACACCTTTACTCGAGGCATCCTCTGGGCAGTGAGTGCTGTTCTAAGTTTAGCGTGAGAAAATGGGGCCTCAGCTGCTTTTCTCCAAGGCCATAGATCTGCTTGGTGGCTGAACCAAGGTTCAGACCCAGAACTATCTAGGAGTAAATATAGCTAGCACTTACCTCGTGTTTAGCTTTTATTTTGTGTTAACTTTTATTATGTGTTAACTCACTGGGGCACCTGGGTGGCTCAGTGGTTGAGCATCTGCCTTTGGCTCGGGGTATGATCCTGGAGACCTGGGATCGAGTCCCACATCGGGCTCCCTGCAGGGAGCCTGCTTCTCCCTCTGCCTGTGTCTCTGCCTCTCTCTTCCTCTGTGTCTCTCATGAATAAATAAATAAAATCTGTTATGTGTTAACTCACTGAATAGAGTAATTCTGTGGAGCACGGTTCTGTCGTTAGTCTCATAGATCAGAAACTGAAGCACAGGGAGGACAGGTTCTCCAATTTCACTCATTTAGATGGAAAGGTAAGCTGGGTCCAGGCGTGCTGGCTGGCTCTGGGACCCACGTTACTCTTTAGTACCTGCTGGTACTAGTTGGCTTGCCCCTGACTGGTGTCCTTTTCATTTTTGGGCTATTCGGCAGGATGCTCTTGAGTCTAAAAACTATAACAAATGGCTAGCTGTGAATGTAAGTTAGTACAAAATATAGAACCTGGCTTTCGGAGCGCTCAGAGGTGAATGGGTTTTGTTTGCTTCTTTTCTTAGCTCCTTCGCACACACAGGGTGGTACTAGAAGAGCGGGCGTCATGACTGACGTTCACCGGCGATTCCTCCAGTTGCTGATGACTCATGGAGTGCTGGAGGAGTGGGACGTTCGGCGCCTGCAGAACCACTGCTATCGAGTCCATGACCGTGAGTATCATTTCCCCGTTCCCAGGATGCCCTGGAGCTGTGCGATCAGGGACTAAGACACTGGGATAAAACAACCTGGGTAGTCAGGTCTCTCCCATACTCTCACACCAGCCTGTGCTTCTCATCTTGGCTTTGACTTTACTTTTTATTTATTTACTTTTTTTTAGTAAATCTAATAGCCCAATGGGTAGGAATTTGGACTTTGAAGCTGTTTAATTGTGGTTCACGCCAAGGCTCCAGCATCTTCTCTAGCCTGAACTTCTTCATCTCTCACATGAGGATAATTAATCATCCTTGACACCATAGAGGGGTTCAGAGGATTAAGAGACAAGATACGTACAAAGTGCCTGACCCTGGGGAAGGTGCTCATTTAGCTGTCAGTGGTTAGAGGGCAGCTTAGCACAGGGGGTCAGAGTGTGGCCTTGGACTCAGCCAAACCCAGAGATAATGCCACCCTGTCCTGGGCCAGCTGGGAATTTGGAGCATCTTCTCAGTGGGTTGCTGAGATGGGATGTAAGATAATACACACAGACCAGACCTGGCTGAGTTTTCATTAACTGGAAGTCACAGCAGAAACAATAGGATCATTGCTGGCAGGTCAGTAAAATCAATATTGGTAGCTCGGGTTGAGTGGAGTGTCAGTATGGGTAGATCCTGTTGAATGAAAAAGAAAGTGGATAAATCATACTTACTGTACGATGTCACTGTGTTACGCTTTTTGTAAAACATAACAAATTTTTAAAAGATTTCATTTATTTGAGAGAGAAAAAGAGAGAGTGCGTATGAGCAGGGGCGGGGTAAAGGGAGAGGGAGAAGGAGACTCCCTGCTGAGCAGGGAGCCCAATGCCATGCGGGGCTGGATCCCAGGACCCTGAGATCATGACCCAAGCTGAAGGCAGTAGTTTAACCTACTGAGCCACCCTTGTGCCCCAACTTATAAATACTTAACATCTGCATGTAAAAAAAGTAAGAGTGGACCGAAAGGATATGTAACACACTTGTGAGGTGCTTGCCTTTGGGGAGAAATCAAAGGACACTCATCTTTATTCTATTTTGCTCTTTTATTAAAGAAAAGAAGACTTGAAGTAAACATGACATTCATAGTATAGTCTGATGATCATCACTTCTGATTAACGGGAATACAGGTGTTTATATTCTGTGCTTTTGTCTTTCTGAGTGTATTTTCTGTTTCCAAAACAAGAGTGGAAAGCACAGAGAGGTGAGCCAGCCAGGAGGTGTGAGGAAAGGTGTGTGCATGGGGCACTGGGTTTAGGGGTGAAGGCCCATGAGAAGATGAGAAGAGGGGCCACATATGGAGAAGTGCCGAATGTGGCATGGGGGAGGCAGAAGCCAGATCTGAGAGAGGTGAAGGGTGGATGGGAGCAGGAAGGGCGAGCTGGTGGGTACAGAGACACATTCTCCCCCATGACGTGCAGAAGGAAGACGAGAGCTTACGGGTTAGGGCAGAGGCAGTTTTGGAGAGACTGGCCCCTTGAGGTATGCCACATGAAATTCTGGGAGCTGGCTGGTACATGCTAACAAATGAAATGCCTACAGGGATCCGATAGTAAGGAAACCTGTTGAACTTGGTTTAATCCCATGTATCTAAACCTCGTTGACCTCCACTTGACATACTTTGGGAAACCCCAGATAGGAACATATGATGTGTGGGAACAGATGCGTCTTTGTGGTATGTGAGTCTATAAATCAGGAAGAACCCATAGTATGTGCACCAGAGTAATGGGGTTTCTTATGTACTTAATTCTGAGTACAGTGTGGACGTCTGAAAGGACTTGAGACGGGAAAGGGACATAATTAGTGTTGTGCTGGAAAACTATTCTTCTGGTAAAAACACGTCTGTCCTACTTGCCTGTGTTGGGGTGGATAGAGGTCTTTGGTGAGGGCCTCTATTAGGGGAAGGGAATGTTACACCTGCCAAGCCAGCCTCTCTCACTCCTTGAAAAAGCACAACAGGATTTCCACCCTCCCCCTCAGAATGCTCTGGTGAAGGGCATAAGAATGTTTTTCTTAGTCTTTTATCCCTTCCTCCTCCCCTTCAGTTTCTCTTGTAAGTCCTAAATGTGGGCTTTAATGCTAATGGGGAAGTTTCATAGCTCACTGCAGGGAGCCACATGGTGCCTTAGTACTAAGAATGAAAGTGTTTTTGCCTTTGTTTGACCTTTAAAGTTGTTATGACCTAATTTAGGAAAGTCCTGTAGAATATATCTAGGAATTAATTTATTATTCACACTTTATGTGCCATATCTGTGCATAAAGATATCAAGATATGCTTATGGCTGGGCTAAATGGGATAGAGCTGTAGTTTGCTTTTCCCCACACCCTTCATTTAAAAAAAAAAAAAAGCTTTCTCTCAAGCATTAATGTTATTTCAGAGATTTTAAAATGAGAGATGATGGAAAGAAATGATCTCAAATTAAATAAATATAAACATCATTAATCTGTCTTTTGAAAAGATGCCCTGGAAAGTCCCCTTTTACCAGCTGGAAAAATATTCAGCTTCTAAGATAATTATGAAACAGAGGAGTAATTGAATCTGTGAGTTATTCTGATTGTAGTTTCCCATGGTCTTTTGTCCAACTTATCAAACATGCTTCCTATTCTGGGCTCTGGTTCCAGGTCTTACCATCATTAAACTAGAAGCAAATTCCCCAGTTATCTGGGTTAGGGAGAGTTTATATTTTGTTGTGATGGGCTGGTGTAGAGCTTTGGGTCTGGGCTTTCTAAGTGGCATGGAGGGCCTATGTGCCCTCTGAGGGCACCTGGGGTTGTGAGCTGGATCTTGTGCACATGTGTGTGATCATCTAGCACCTCTTGCTGTGGCATCATGGAGGCCAGGTCCCTGTGCTAGGGACTGGTGACACAGAGACAAAGCTCTTGCTTCACCTTGGGTTTCATGAATCATGCAGATGCAGAATCATATGATTCTAGTATAAGCTTCCTTTAATGGAACTAGGCACAGGAAGCCTAGGGAGTGGTGGTTAAGAAGACCTGTGTTTGAGGATTTCTACTTTTGACCAAGATAGAGCAACAGGGAGCAGTTTACCTTCCTGTATGAAACAATTAAAAATAAATGAAACAAGGGACATTAGTCAGTGAAGGACAGAGAATCCTTGAGAGATAGGGAGTGAAAGTTTTTTTTTCCTTTCCTGACACCAAATATGTGTTGTATTTTCCAGTACTTCCTCCCCAGTTCTCTGGATGCTCACTGGATGTCCAGTGGTTCAGCTCAGTTCTGACACTGTTTACCTGGAGTGAGGGTCAGATCTCATGGTTAAAGGGGTTCAGCCCTACCAGGCTGCCCCACTTCAGATGCCAGTCTCAAGTCTAGGCCTCAGACTTCTGACCAACCACCTATAAGGTCAAGTCCTATGGTCCACCCCTCAAGTTCAGTAATTTGGTAGAATGGCTCACAGAACCCAGGAAAACACTTATGTTTGCTGGCCTCATATAAAGGATAGAGCTCAGGAACAGCCAAATGGGAAGAATGCATAGGGCAGGGCTTAGGGGGCAGGGGTGGCATGCAACTCCCACACCCTTTCTAGATGCTCCACTTTCCCAATACTTTGATGTGTTCATCTCAGTGGATCTCCAAAAGCCATCATTTGGAGGTTTTTATGGAGCTATCATTACTTGTGTGATTTGACTGAATCATGGGCCATTGGTGATTAACTCCGTATGTAGTCCCTCTGCTCTTCCCAGAGTTGGGGATGGGGCTGACAGTTCCAAGCTTCTAATCAAAGCTCGTTTTTTTCTGGCAACCGACTCCCATCCTGAAGTTCTTTAGGGACCTGCCAAGAGTTGCCTCATTAGAACAAAACACTTCTGTCACCCTTGTCACTCAGGAAATTCCAAGGGTTTTAGGAGTTCTGTGCCAGGAACCAGGAATGACAACCAAGTATTCCCTCTTTTTTTCCCCCAAGTATATTTTTTATACCATAGGCAAAAACAAAATGAGCACTACAATTGCCTCAGCTCAGTGCCCTGAGAGTTTTCAGGCCATGGCGTAGGGGAAACCCAGGTAGTACTGAACAGACAGCTGAGGGGATGGAGGATGAGAGCTCAAGGAGACCAAAGTGTTTGCAGGTCAGAGTGGGGTGGGGGTAGAGTGGGGGCAGGAAGAGGTGCCTAGAGAGGTGGAGTCAGCTACCTCCCCCCACTCCCTGGCAGGGATCCATCTAAGAGCAGATACACTGGTTGCTGCCTGAGGCCAGGCAAAGATACATTTGAAAGGATTAAGAGAGAAGCAGTGCCTGATGTTCACGGGGCAGGGGGCTGAGAATAGTATGGTTCCAGGAACAGCAGCTTTGCTAGGGAGTTCTACCAAGTATTTAAGGAAAGAATGGTACCAGTTCCACCCACATTCCTCCAGAAGATTGAAGAGAAGGGAGCATTTCCCAACTCATTCTTTGAGGCCTGCATTATCCTGATACCAGAACCAGACAAAGATATTGCAAGGAGAGAAATCTAAAGACCAAGATCCTTTGTGAATATAGATGCTAAAATTATAAACACAATTTTAGCAAGTCTACTCCAGCAATATATAGAAAGGATGGTATAATATGACTAAAGTGGGGTTTAGCCCAAGAATGCAGGGTTGGTTTATTATTTGAAAAATCAATACATGTGATTTACACCTTAAAAGAAAAAGAAAAACCATATGGTCATCTCAGTAGTGCAGAAAAAGCATTTGATAAAATCTGATATATCTCCTGGCATGACGCAGCAGAAGTTTCATACAGGAAACTAGAGACCCTAAGGATCAGGGTAGAAGCAGAGTTATAGGAACTTGGGGCTTAGAGCAGTAGAGAGTACTCAACAACTGTTTGTACAGAATTAAAAAATCTAACATCTATTCTTGATAAAAGCCCTCAGCAAAGTAACAAAAGAAGGGAGATTCTTTAACCTGATAGAGAGGGTCTATGGAAAGCCTATAGCTGACATCATACTTCATTGTGAAGACTGAACACTTTACCCTAATA